TATCAGGAGACCGATTTGGAATTACTAATGTTGTTCCACAGTCCCTAGGCCGAATTAAAGGTCTCCTTTTCCTTTTCCCGTATCTCCCCCTCCCCGCCACGACTTCTATGGGGGCTCCTCGGTTAACGGAAGCCTCTCCCTCCTCCATGACGCATTCAGCAGCCAAAGTATCACCCCATAGGTCATTATTGACTGTTTGGTATGTTGCGACTTCAGATTGCCATAGTCTTGCTTTACATTCATTTCCCGCTCCTGCTATATTATACGCGGGTCTTTCTGAGCTACTCTGTTCCCTCTCTCCACTATAAACAGCTAGCAGTTGTAATTTGGGAGTTGTAGTTGCTGGGATTTATAGTTCACCTATAATCAAAAAGCATTCTGAACTCCACCAGCGATGGATTTAAACCGAACTTGGCACAAAGAACTCCCATGACCAACAGAAAACACTGGAAGGGTTTTGTGGGCAATTACCTTGTGTTTGGGATTTGTAGTTCACCTACATCCAGAGAGTACTGTGATCTCAAACAATGATGGATCTGGACCAAACTTGGCACGAATACTCAGTATGCCCAAATGTGAACACTGGTAGAGTCTGGGGAAAATAGACCTTGATATTTGGGAGTTGTAGTTGTTGGGATTTATAGTTCACCTACAATCAAAGAGCATTCTGAACTCAACGAACAATAGAGTTGGGTCAAACTTCCCACACAGAATCCCAATGACCACCAGAAAATACTATGTTTTCTGATGGTCTTTGGCGATCCCTTTGACACCCCCTCACGACCCCCTCAGGGGTCCCGACCCCGAGGTTGAGAAACAGTGATCTAAAATGTAGCTCTTTCTAAAATGATCAAGGGTCTGGAGAACAAGCCCTATGAGGAGCGGCTTAAGGAGCTGGGCATGTTTAGCCTGAGGAAGAGAAGGCTGAGAGGAGATATGATAGCCATGTATAAATATGTGAGAGGAAGCCACAGGGAGGAGGAGGGAGCAAGCTTGTTTTCTGCTTCCTTGGAGACTAGGACGCGGAGCAATGGCTTCAAACTACAAGAGAGGAGATTCCATCTGAACACGAAGAAGAACTTCCTGACTGTGAGAGCCGTTCAGCAGTGGAACTCTCTGCTCTGGAGTGTGGTGGAGGCTCCTTCTTTGGAAGCTTTTAAACAGGGGCTGGATGGCCATCTGTCAGGGGTGCTTTGAATGCAATATTCCTGCTTCTTGGCAGAATGGGGTTGACTGGATGGCCCAGGAGGTCTCTTCCCTTTGATTCTATTATTCTATGATTCTTTCAATAAAGTATTTGGTATGTTTTAAAGCCTGACATTGCTCCTGTAATTACTAAACCTCATTTACTTTTCAGCTAGCTCAAGAAGTTTCTGATCTGCAAAACCTGCTGCTTTTCCTGTTGGTGCTGCTTACATTTTGAAGTGCCTTTTCCTTTTTTAAATTTACCCAACAGTTTGAGACCCTGGGTAGCCCCCTTCACATTCAGCCTCTGCTTCTTTGTGGTGGATCGTGTTGGAGCAGGATGTGTCCGTCTGCTCGCTTTCTCTAAGTTTCAGTTGCAACTTGAAAAGAGCTCTCCGAGGTGCTGAAATCAGTTGCCACATTGGGTTTGACACCTTGGAGAGCCCCTTTCTTGTTCAGGCTCTGCTTCCTCTGGTGGACCTGTTGGGGTTCAGCCTGAGTTTGAACTTGAACCTGATTCTCTGTTTGTTCCTCCTGATGCTAATGAAAGTATATTTACTGATGCTAGTGGAAATGTACCTCTTGATGCCAATGCTCCTGAAATTAGTGAGGAAGAAACTTCTGTAGGTTTGGAAAATGCCAATGTTCCTGAAATTAGTGAGGAAGGAACTTCTGTAGATTTGGAAAATGAAAGTACCAGTGTTCATGAGAATGTTTCAGAGGGAAGCCATGATCTTTCCCTCCCTTCTGCACCTGGGAACCTTAATGAGAACAGAAGGGGGCAGATCTGGCAAGAAAGAAGTAAATCACTCAGCTTGCGAAGGTCTTCCCGATTAAAAGAAATACAAACAACGGCTTCAAAGCAGAGGGGCGGTTCACGGAACCAATTCTTTGGCTTTAATTGCCTTCCACCGGGCTGACTTTCTCAGTTCAGGCATCATTTCAGATTAATGAAGACCTTGGCAGTTCTCCCGGTTTCCCCTGGCCATGGTTTTGAAAGATTTCTAGGATATCAAGTACGGTTAGTGGATTGCTAACGGGTTCCAGTATTTTACAGTGTGGCTTTGGGTTTTGTTTTGTCCATTTAAATTCATGTTTGCTGATTTTGCTGTGGCTTTTGACTTTGCATTTTTCCTTTATTTTGGAATCATTTTTCTTCAATAAAAAAGGACAGATTTGGAAAATCAGGAGTGAATCGCAGAGTCTGCGAAGGTCAAGCAGATTAAGGGAAAAGGAAGCTCAGGCTTCAAAGCCTGGAGGCGTGTCACGAAACAGTTTCTTCAGTTTTAAGTGCCTCTCACCGGGTTGTCTCGTTAGATCAGACATCGTTTAGACTGAGGCATTACCTTGGCAGATTTCCCTGTTTCCCGTGGCCTACATCCCAAGAGGCTTCTAGTGCTCCAAGTACGGTTAGTGATTTGCTAACAGGTTCCAGGTTTTTACAGTATTGCTTTTGGAATTTTGATCTAATTCATGGATATTCCTGACTGCTGAATTTTACTGTGGCTTTTTGACTTTGCATTTTCCTTTATTTTGTAATCATTTTTCTTCAATAAAAAAGGATTGTTTTTCACAGTCAAGTGTGGTGGATAGTTATCTTAGGGCCTCATTCCCTGCTCTGGATTGCAACAGGACCCTGAAATAGTATTGGAGCAGGATGTGTTCTTCTGCTTCTCTTCCCTAACTGGGCCTTTCTCTCTCTCTCTCTCTCTCTTTCCAGGCATGGTGCAGAAGCTTGACCAAAAGCTACCAGTGGCCAATGAGTACCTGCTGCTCTCGGGGGGCGTCCGTGAGGGGGTGGTGGACCTGGACCTGGATGAGCTGAGCATCTATGCACGCGGCACTGACTATGACATGGACTTCACGCTCCTGGTGCCAGCCCTGAAGCTCCACGACCGGAACCAGCCAGTCACCCTGGACATGCGCCACTCGGCCCTGTGCCACTCCTGGTTGAGCCTGCGCCTCTTTGACGAGGGCACCATCAGCAAGTGGAAGGACTGCTGCACCATCGTGGACCACATCAATGGGGCCACCAACTACTTCTTCTCCCCGACCAAAGTGGCTGAGTGGTTCTACGACTCCATCAGCATTGTCCTCTCAGAGATCCAGAAGAAGCCCCAGCGAGGCATGCCCAAGGTGGAGAAGGTGGAGAAGAACGGGACCATCATCTCCATCATCCTGGGGGTGGGCAGCAGCCGCATGCTCTACGACATCGTACCTGTGGTCTCCTTCAAGGGTTGGCCGGCCGTGGCCCAGAGCTGGCTGATGGAGAACCACTTCTGGGATGGGAAGATCACTGAGGAGGAGGTCATCAGCGGCTTCTACCTGGTGCCGGCCTGTTCCCACAAGGGCCGGAAGGACAACGAGTGGCGCCTCTCCTTCGCCCGCAGCGAGGTCCAGCTGAAGAAGTGCATCTCCGCCAGCCTCATGCAGGCTTACCAGGCATGCAAGGCCATCATCATCAAGCTGCTCTCGCGGCCCAAGGCCATCAGCCCTTACCACCTGCGCAGCATGATGCTCTGGGCCTGCGACCGGCTGCCGGCCAACTACCTGGCGCAGGAGGACTATGCTGCCCACTTCCTCCTGGGTCTCATTGACGACCTGCAACACTGCTTGGTCAACAAGATGTGCCCCAACTACTTCATCCCGCAGTGCAACATGCTGGAGCACCTCTCTGAGGAGACGGTCATGCTCCATGCCCGCAAGCTCTCCTCAGTCCGCTCGGACCCGGCCGAGCACCTCCAAACCGCCATTGAGCACGTCAAGGCTGCCAACCGGCTGACTCTGGAGCTACAGCGCCGAGGTAGCGCTGGGGGCATCCCCTCCCCACAGTCGGACGGAGGCGACGGAAGTGGGCAGCCCGACGACCGCCTGGCCAAAAAGCTCCAGCAGCTGGTGACGGAAAACCCCGGGAAGTCCATCTCCGTCTTCATCAACCCTGACGACGTCACTCGGCCCCACTTCAGGATCGACGACAAGTTCTTCTGACCCCGGACCCCTTTTCGGACTCGGACAACGGTTCCCTTTCCTTCCGGGCATCTCCCCTCTTTTTCTCTCTTCTTCCCCCTTCTCTCGCTCTTTCCTCTTTTGGAAATCACACACATATCCCGTTTGGAATGGATTTGCTGAAAACAGCACACTACCAGTGAGAAGGTTCTCTGGGACGGAGCAGGATCGGATCCTTTTGCTCGCTGACCCCTTCTCCCCCCGTTTGGATCTGTGTGCATTGTGTAATTGGGGCGGGGAATTGTCCAGAAGAGCACAATGGATCACCCCCTTGATCCAGATTTGTATTACATTTGCCCCCGGTGCCTTCCAACTTCCAGGGTGGGGCAATTTCTCCAAGGTTTTTTAAAGCAGGGGAGACCTTTTTTTGCAAGCAGTAAGTGACCCAGAAGTCAATGTCTCTCCAAGTCCTTTGTGGGCAAAGAAGTCCATTTTGGAAAAGGGGGGGGGGATTTGGGGTTCTTCCATCCTTGTTATACAAGAGATTCAAACCCCCCTCTCTCGCTCGCACACGGAAGTGCACAAACATCCACTTCCTTTGCCAGACTTCATTTGTTTATGATCCAAATGTTTTCTCCCTCCCTTTCTTCACATCTCCTTTTCTGCTCTGTGTTTTGCTGAGCTGCTTCCCAGGTTTCCCTTCGGCCCCAAACGCCGATCCGGCACCCGGAAGGACCAATTGGACTGCCTCCACTTTGCAATGCAAGAGACCTCTTTCCAGATTTTGGAAGCGTTTCTCCTCCAAAACCCCTTCCTTCCTTCCTTCCTTCCTTCCTTCCTTCCTTCCTTCCTTCCTTCCTTCCTTCCTTCCTTCCTTCCCTCCTCCTTCCTCCTTCCTTCCCCTTCCTTCCTTCCTTCCTTCTCTTCCTTCCTTCCTTCCTTCCTTCCTCCCTTCCTCCCTCCTTCCCTCCCCCTCCTTCCCTTCCTCCTTCCTTCCTTCCTTCCTTCCTTCCTTCCTTCCTTCCTTCCTTCCTTCCATCCATCCATCCATCCTTCATTCCCCCTCCCTCCCTCTTCCTCCCTCCCTCCTTCCTTCCTTCCTTCCTTCCCTTCCTTCCTTCCTTCCTTCCTTCCTTCCTTTCTCCTCCCTCCCTCCCTCCCTCCCCTTCTTCCTTCCTCCTCCTCCCTCCCTCTCCCTCCCTCCTCCCTCCCTCCTTCCTTCCTTCCTTCCCTCCCTCCCTCCCTCCCTCCCTCCTTCCTTCCTTCCTTCCCTCCCTCCCTCTTTCCTTCCCTCCTTCCCTCCTTCCCTCCTTCCCTCTCTCTCGCCCCAAATGATTTCCTTTCGGCCACCTCTTCTTGAATGTAATTGTTCAGAAGGAGAGTTCATCCAGTGCAAAGAATGCGGTTTCAGCTCATCTTCCGTGCGGAATAAGGTTCTGGAATGTTAGTTTTTAGTGGGTGTAATTATTCAAAGCCTTATTTAAATGCTATTAAAGAACACACCATTATAAATGTCAATGTGCATTGCCTCCTGCTCTGGCTGGGACTCTGTGGGTTTCCTCTAATGCAATGTTTCTCAACCTTCCTCATGCCATGACCCCTTAATACATTTCCTCATGTTGTGGTGACCCCCAACCATAACATTATTTTGCTACTTCATAACTGTAATTGTGCTACTGTTGTGAATCTTAATGCAATTATCTGGTAAGCTGGATGTATTTTCATTCACTGGGCCAAATTTGGCACAAATACCCAATATGCCCCGATTTGAATAGTGGTAGGGTTGGGAGGGGGGTTGATTAATTTTGTCATTTGGGAGTTGGAATTGCTGGGATTTATAGCTCATCTACAGTCAAAGAGCATTCAGAACTCCACCAACAATGGAATTGAACCAAACTTGGCACACAAAACTCTCATGGCTAACAGAAAACACTGGAAGGGTTTGGTGGACAGTGTCCTTTCCTTTTGGAGTTGTAGTTCACCTACATCCAGAGAGCACTGTGGACTCAAACAATGATGGATCTGACCAAACTTGGCACGAATACTCAATATGCTCAATATGAACACTGGTAGAGTTTGGGGAAAATAGACCTTGACATTTGGGAGTTGTAGTTACTGGGATTTACCAGAAAAATTAGCCATAGCAGAGCACCTGATGAACCAGCCTGGACACAGCATTTTATTTGAGAACACAGAAATGCTGGACCACTCTCACGACCACCATGTCAGGCTACACAGAGAAGCCATTGAAATCCACAAGAAGCAGGTGGACAATTTCAACAGAAAGGAGGAAACCACGAAAAGGAACAAAATCTGGCTACCAGTATTAAAAAACTCTAAAATTACAACAGCACAACAACAGAGAGGAAACAAACAAGGACATTTAATCACCTTTCAACAAAAGTTTGCTCCAGGCACTGTCAAGCCATTATTTATTTATTTATTTATTTACTCCTTTTGTATACCGCCTATATCAGCCAAAAAAGGCGACTCTAAGCGGTTTACAGTAAAATGTGCAACATTGAACAATACATGTGACAAACATCCACAAACAGTACACATAACGTCATCACGCCTCGAATAGAATCAGATCCAGTCTCACAGTCGTTTTACCATTCCTTGTTCAGTATGCCGTCTTTCAGAGTCAGATGTTATTGCATGCTTATCCGAACGCCTGTTCGAAGAGCCACGTCTTAACCCGCCTCCTAAACGCCAATAGCGAAGGGGCCTGCCTGATCTCCCCTGGTAAGGCATTCCATAGCCGAGGGGCCACCACCGAGAAGGCCCTGTCTCTCGTCCCCGCCAGCCGCACTTGTGATGCTGGCGGGACCGAGAGCAGGGCCTCCCCGGACGATCTTAGTGTCCTCGCCGGTTCATAGGCGGAGATGCGTTCGGAGAGGTAAGTGGGGCCGGAACCGTTTAGGGCTTTATAGGCTAAAGCCAGCACCTTGAATTGTGCTCGGTAGCAAATTGGCAGCCAGTGGAGCTGGCTCAACAGTGGAGTGGTGTGCTCCCTGAGTGCCGCTCCCGTTAACAACCTGGCTGCCGAGCGCTGGACCATCTGAAGCTTCCGGGCAGTCTTCAAGGGCAACCCCACGTAGAGCGCGTTGCAGTAATCTATGCGGGATGTGACAAGAGCGTGGACTACCGTAGCCAAGTCCGACTTCCCAAGATACGGGCGCAGCTGGCGCACGAGCCGAAGCTGTGCAAATGCTCCTCTGGAGACCGCTGAAACTTGGGGTTCCAAGCTTAGCGAAGAATCCAGAGTCACACCCAAGCTGCGAACCTGTGTCTTCAGGGGGAGTGCGACCCCGTCCAACACAGGCTGTAACCCTATACCCTGTTCGGCCTTCCGACTGACCAGGAGTACCTCTGTCTTGTCTGGATTGAGTTTCAATTTGTTCACCCTCATCCAGTCCGACACAGCGGCCAAGCACCGGTTCAGGACCTGGACAGCCTCCTTGGTAGTAGGTGGAAAGGAGTGACAGAGTTGGACGTCATCTGCGTACAGATAACACCGCACCCCGAAACTCCGGATGATCTCTCCCATGCTAATCAAGGTGGTCAGTTGAAACATTCCCACCTGGCTCCAGCAGACAATAGCCCTTTGTCCCACCCTGGTCATTCCACAGATATATAAACCCTTTTTCCTACTTCCAACAGACCTCACTACCTCTGAGATGCTTGCCATAGATGCAGGTGAAACGTCAGGAGAGAAGGCCTCTACAACATGGTCTTATAGCCCAAAAAAACCTACAACAACCCAGTGTCCTTGCCCTTTGCTCTTCCTCTGCACAAAACTGCCTTTCATTACAGAGGAATCACTACGGAATGTGTCTCGCCTGGTAGAGAGAAAAAGGTTCGATATTTTCCTCTTTTATATTCAAGAATATATTCAAGCTTTGCAGAGCGTTGACAAAGGCAGGCTCCTTTGGGGAACTGCCATTGTGCCTCTGCCTTTTCAGCTGAGCAGCGATTCCACTTTGGAGGTGCAACTACACTGTCAAAATAATAGTTTTTCTCTTCCTTTTTGTAATTGCAAAGCATTTTGTTGGGGAAGTCCCCCATTTGCAGTTCGGCCCCATTGGGATCCCTAGTCAATCCAGCCATGGGAAACCTTAGTGGTGCCTCTCCCCATTCCCTTAAGCTTTTGCTTATTTTGCTTTAAGGTGGATGGATCCAGCTCTGGAAACCAGACATTTCCAGCTTCAGGTCTGCGTTTGGCAAGGGCTTCCTGGCCTTCTCCCTAAAGGATGCTCATTAATCTTTTAAAATCAGATTAACAGAGGGAAAGAGAGAGGGAGGTGGAAGGGCTGGTTTTCCGTCTTCCATCAGAATCGACTTGGAAGGAAATGGAGGGGAGCATCGTAGAATCAAAGAGTTGGAAGAGACCTCCTGGGCCATCCAGTCCAACCCCATTCTGCCAAGAAGCAGGAATATTGCATTCAAAGCACCCCTGACAGATGGACATCCAGCCTCTGTTTAAAAGCTTCCAAAGAAGGAGCCTCCACCACACTCCAGGGCAGAGAGTTCCACTGCTGAACGGCTCTCACAGTCAGGAAGTTCTGCCTCATGGAATGTGTCCAGAGGAGGGCGACTAAAATGATCAAGAGTCTGGAGAACAAGCCCTATGAGGAGCGGCTTAAAGAGCTGGGCATGTTTACCCTGAAGAAGAGAAGGCTGAGAGGAGACATGATGAGGGCCATGGATGAATATGTGAGAGGAAGTCCTAGGGAGGAGGGAGCAAGCGTCCTTTCTGCTTCCCTGGAAACTAGGATGCAATTGAACAATGGCTTCAAACTACAAGAAAGGAGATTCCATCTGAACATGAGGAAGAACTTCCTGACTGTGAGAGCCGTTCAGCAGTGGAACTCTCTGCCCTGGAATGTAGTGGAGGCTCCTTCTTTGGAAGCTTTTAAACAGAGGCTGGATGGCCATCTGTCAGGAGTGATTTGAATGCAATATTCCTGCTTCTTGGAAGAATGGGGTTGGACTGGATGGCCCAGGAGGTCTCTTCCAACTCTTTGATTCTATGATTCTATGTTCAGACAGAATCTCCTTTATTGTAGTTTGAAGCCATTGTTCCACGTCTCCAGGGAAGCAGGAAACAAGCTTGCTCCCTCCTCCCTGTGGCTTCCTTTCACATATTTATACATGGCTACCATATCTCCTCTCATCCTTCTCTTCTTCAGGCTAAACATGCCCTGCTCCTTAAGCCGCTCCTCATAGGGCTTGTTCTCCAGACCCTTGATCATTTTAGTCGCCCTCCTCTGGACACATTCCAGCTTGTCTCTCTTGAATTGTGGTGCCCAGAATTGGACACAGTATTCCAGGTGTGGTCTAACCAAGGTGGAATAGAGCATGGGGAGCATGACTTCCCTGGATCTAGACACTAGGCTCCTATTGATGCAGGCCAAAATCCCATTGGCATTTTTTTTGCCACCACATCATCTGCAGAAAGTTCAGAAAGACAAAGCAATCTCTCCCCTTTGTATTGTCAAAGGCTTTCATGGCTGGAATCACTGGGTTGTTGTGAGTTTTCTCAGTTGCATGGCCATGTTCCAGAAGCATTCTCTCCTGACCCCACAACCTCTGAGGATGTGTCACGATGCTAGGGCTCTGCCTTATGCTGGTAGAGGTGAATCAAGCAAACACCCAGTTTGTGCTAAACAATTTAATTAAAGCAGTACTCACTGTCTGGATGTTTTAATACTCCAGAATCATAGAATGAAAGAATTTGAAGAGATCTCATGGGCCATCCAGTCCAACCCCATTCTGCCAAGAAGCAGGAATATTGCATTCAAATCACCCCTGACAGATGGCCATCCAGCCTCTGTTTTAAAGCTTCCAAAGAAGGAGCCTCCACCACACTCCGGG